GTGGTAACTCTAGCGCGGTCACCAGCCATTACCAGCTTTAGACCGGTCCTCACCGTGGCACTGTCTGCCTCCGGCCCGGCCACACTGCCGACCGTTGCTACCGCTGCTTGGACGACCTGTTCTGCCACCGCTTCGCCCGTGCGTTGGACCCTCCAGACTGGTACGCCCTGGCTCGGCGTCGTGTGTCGGTCTTTGAGCTTGACATGGATCAGATTAGGAATGCTATGTCTGTCATATATGCTGATGACTCAAATGTGATTGGACCCTATTACCCGGTGTTGCTTAGCGTAGGCGTGTCCACTGTGTGTATTCTAGGCTCCCTTGCTGCGTCAGGCGTAGGACCGTCTGCCTTGTTTAGCCTAGGCTCCACACTAGCCCCTCCGCCGGCTGCCGCTAGCGCTTTGCTCTCCTTCACGCTTGACTCTAGTGCGTCTACCTGCTTCTTCCACGACCGCACTTCCCTTATGCCGCTTGCCACCCCTGTCGCCGTCGCACTTGCAGACCCCTCCTCAGGTCCGGTAGTTGCACGTAGCTCCACCACACTTCCCTGTCCGACGGTCCCCTCTGGCACTCTTACAGACCTGCACATCCCCTTGTTCTCTAGGAACCTAGTTGGTGTCCGCTATCTTCAGGACCTCAGCGTTACCACTACGTTCCTTGGACACGAGCGGTACAGGGTCTGCACTGAGACCGCCACTGGTGCTCCTCTGACCACGTTCTCCCGTGACCCTGTGTCCGGCCTGTTTGCGCTTGACATTGCGTCCCCCCCGGTGAGGGCATCCCCCCAGGTAGCCGCGGCTTGCTCGTGTCGGTCGCTCACTCACCCGTCGGTGCTGTGGCACCACCGCCTAGGTCACCCTGCACTCTCGCGTCAGCGTCACATGTCCCAGCACGGTCTTGTCATAGGTCTCCCTACGTCGCTCCCTTCCCTCCCTCCCGCACCTGCACCGCCGTGCACGCCCTGCGTTGAGGGACGGCTGTGCCTTATACCTCACTCCTCTTTTCTTTGCCCTGCCACTGCACCACTCTAGACCCTGCACCTAGACGTCTGGGGCCCAGCCCCCGTCCCTGGGCCGCGTCGTGAGCGCTACTTCCTGGTGCTTGTTGACGACTACACGCGCTACACCACAGAGTTTCAACTAGAGCGAAAGGCCGACGTGCCTGACGTTCTTATCCTGTGGGTCGTAGCTGCGCGAGTCCGCCGCGGTCTCCTCGTACAATGTCTCCACTCCGACTGTGGCGGCGGGTTTGCCTTCGATCGGCTTGGCCGGTTCTGTCGTGCGGAGGGCATCACCCAGTCGTACACCCTGCCGGACTCCCCACAGCAGATTGGGGTCACTGAGCGACGCATCGGCTTGGTCATGGAGGTGGCTCGTACCTCCATGATCCATGCCGGTGCACCCCATTTTTTGTAGCCGAGGTTTCCCGGTTACCCCGCCCGTGTTTCTGGTTCCCACTTCCCCGGTAGCCCCTGCTCCTTTTCCCCCCCGTCTTGCTCTGTCTGGTGCGTCTCACGTCACTCCCCCCCCTGTTGGTTGACTGGGTCGAGAAGTCGGCTGACTCTCGTGGCCTCGCAGCGCAGTTCTCGCCGCCTGTCTATCCCCCGGTGTCTCCTCCTCCGCCGTCGCAGTCACCGCCGCCGCAGTAGCCGTCGCCACCACAGCAGCCGCCGCCGCCGCAGCAGCCGCCACCGCCGTCGCAGTAGGAGCAGACGTTCGTGGACTTTGGGGGTGCTGGCGTTGAGGAGGGTGCTAGTCCTGGGGTTCCTGTCATGGCTTGTCTCGGCAGCCTCAGGGGTGGCACCGGTGCTGGAGAGGGTTCTCGCTCAGGGGGTGCTGGTTCTGGGGGTGCTGGAGTGGAGTGTTCCGGCAGTAGTCGCGGTGCAGCTGGCGGTACAGGTGTCGACATCGAGCAGCTGCAGCAGCAGGCGCCGCTGGTGTCCGCCCTTCGCTTGCTCCGCCTTCCCTCCCCTAACCGCTCGCCTGTGCCTCCCCCACCGCCTCCTCCCCTTCCTGTCCACGGTCATGTGTTTCCTCCGCCGGACTCGTCCCCGGTCCGTTTCCCACCTCGTTCCCCTCCTTTTACTCCTCCTCTGTCTCCTGACCCGATGCCGCTGTCTCACGTCTGGTCTCGTCGCCCCTCCCGTGCTCGTCCTGTTTCCCCTGTTCCGCGCTCTCATCCTCTGTTGCTTCGTTCCCACATGTCTCGTCCTCCCCTCCTCCCGTCGCCTCCTCCGTCGTCGCTTGTCGTCGCTCCGCCTCCTCTGTCTGACTATATTCGTGCTGCTCGTCCTCTTGTTCCTCGGGTCCTTGCCTCTCTCCTTACCGACCTGTCTGTTCCTGTCTCGAGTCTTTCTGCACTTGTCGCTGCATTCACTGACTTCGCCTCTACCCGCCGCCTTAACTACGCCACTCCTCTGGTCTCTGACCCTGCCCGTCCTCTGTCTGTCGGGGTTGCTCCTGCCCATGGCAGTGACGTCCTAGAGGACCGGCAGTACGAGCTTGCTTTCCTGTCCGAGGCCGCCCCTCATCTCTGCTCCATGCTGTTAGTCCCTAAGGGTGACCAAGATACCCTTGACATCCCGACCCCTCGCACCTACGCTGAGGCGACCTCGGGACCCTGGGACCTTGGGCCTCTTAGTGAATAGTTGCCATCGACGCAGAGATGGCATATTGGAGATCCACTTATGGCACATATTGGAGGGCAGCCTGTATGAGCAGGTCTACTTGCGACGCCCACCATGCTTCACCGGCACCTTCGCCCCGGGGACCAAATGGATCCTCCAACGTCTGGTTTACGGCCTGCAGCAGGCGCCGCGCGAGTGGCACGACAAGCTGCGTGCTACGTTGGCTGACCTGCAGTTCTTCCCATCTTCTATAGACCCTTCTCTCTTCATCCATGCTGGCCTTCTACATCCTTGTCTACATAGACGACCTGGTCTTTGCTACTACAGATAGAGGCGCACTGGCCTCGGTGAAGGCTGAGCTGCTGAGGAGACACACTTGCACTGACCTGGGAGAACCGCACCGCTACCTTGTCGTGCAGATCTCCAGGGGTAGAGCAGCGTGCACCATCACTCTCACACAGTCACACTTCGTGCGCCAGGTCCTTAAGTGGTTCGGTCTTTAGTGTACCTTCGCACAGCCCACACCTCTGCCTATGGATCACAAGCTCTCAGCTGCAGTCCTGAGGAGTCTTTAGAGCCTAGTGGTCCTTACGCACAGCTGGTGGGTTGCCTTATATACCTGATGAATTGTACTCGTCCAGACCTCGCATACCCTCTCAGCATCTTGGCTCGGTTCGTAGCGACAAGCTGAAACCGACCACAGCACTAGTCGGCAACTAAGAGTGTTTTGCGTTATCTAGCAAGTACATCGGGCATGGGGCTTGTGCTAGGAGGATGCAAGCTAGTGGTCCTGATGGGGCACACAGACGCTTCGTGGGCTGACGACGCTGAGGCGCTCATGTCCCCTCAGGGCTACTGCTTTAGCCTTGGTACAGGCGCGGTCTCGTGGAGGTCCACCCGCTCGTCATCTGTTGCCCATTCCAGCTGCGAGGCTGAGATCTACACTGGTGCCATGGCGGCACAAGAGCTCCGCTGGCTGACTTTCTTGCTCACAGACTTAGGTGAGTGGCCTAGCTCTGCCCCAGTCCTGTATGCTGACAACAGGGCCATGATCCTCCTGTGTCAGGACCCTTGACTAGAGGGCAGAGCGAAGCACATCCAGCTGCGGTACTTCCTCCTGCGCGAGCTGCAGCAGCGTCGCCAGGCTCGTGTAGTACACTTGGCCTCCGGTTCCAACACAGCTGATATCTTTACTAAGGCGCTTGCGCCTAAAGATCATCAACGGCACTGTCTACAGCTTGGTCTAGTTCCTGTAGCTTCTCACTTTCTAGGACCCTGATTGTGTACTCTCTACTATATATACCTGTCTGACTGGCCTTGTGGCTCCTGTCCCAGTGGCTTGACTAGTAGTACCGCCCTGGGTTGCTCTTGTTAAGCTCGTACTCTTGTTGACTGGTCTTCGGACCCTTGCCTCAGAGGTTGGACTAGTAGTGCCACCCTGAGCTGTGTGTCTCTTTCCAGGCAGCGCCCCTCATCTGGCCTAGGGGGTGTGTCAAACATATTTGTATATATTATAATAGGCTAGATAGGTGCATGCTCTTAGAGGGTACAACCATTTGAACAAAATCAACCTGTTTGCCTCATTCTAATCAACTTTTCCACTCTGAGAAGTACACCCTTGTGCAGCAGTGTGTAAAAGGGCAAATGGTTGGCCAGTTGGCTAGCTGAGACAGGATGTTGAGGGTATATGGTTACCCCAATACAGGGCCCAAAATATCCTGGTAAAATGCCCTGATTACTCTGATTTTCAGGGTATTTTTTCGAGCTAGGCTGATTTTTCAGGGTTTGCGATTTTATAACCCTGATTCAAAAAGTGTAGCAATTTTTTTACCCTTCGAAAACCAGGGTTTGCGACCCTCCAGCCCTGATGAAGCAGGGCAGCAAGGCAACTACCCTTAATGCGCTGTCTGGCCAGCCAAAATCAGCGTCAGATGCGTGCTGGAGACTGTGTGGGCGCTAAATGGCCCTTAGCCGAAATCAAGGCTCGATGCATGCTGGGGGCTGTGTGAGGGCGCTAACTGGCCCTTGCCAAAATCAGCGCTCGATGTGTGCTGGGGTGGGGCTGTGTGAGGGAGGGTGCTGATTGGCTCTTCGCCAAATTTCCTCCGAAATTGACTGGAGGAGGTGCGAGGGGACCGATTGTACCTTCAAATGTTTCTGCGGATGTGTGCTGGATCTGTGTGAAACGTTCATTGGCCCTTCACCAAATCTGCCACACCCCTCCAATCCAATTTCGTCCCCCACGCACAATTCGCTTCCCTCTGTTCGTCAAGTTCGTCAAACGTGTCGCATTGTACATTTCGTGAAGTCAGCAACATAGCCCAAGCTCCCGTCCATCCGAAGTTCAAAAACAGTTTCGCTTTTGTAGTCAATGGCTTTAAATTGCAATGCAGTGGCAATAAAGAACAGGGTGGTTTTAAATATTCCCTGTGTAAACAGTGTTGCAAAAAGTTTACCCTGAAAAATCAGACTACCCTGAGTTAGGTACCCTGTGTGACAGGGTGTTTCGGTGGGGCGACCCTGGTTTCAAAGGGCGGCCCAAAACCAATTTTGGGCCCTGCCCCAATACAGGGCAAGAGAATTGCAACAAATCAATGCTCATATTTTGCACGATGCGGTAGCCCTGGGAGGATGACGGCGGCTAACACCGGTACGAGGGCCACTTCAACACAGAAGAAGCTTATTCGGAAATAAGTTCGGCTTGACGTAGGTAGGGCCTTGAGAAAGGTACCGGGAAAAGCATGTGTGCGCCCATGGCGTACAAGGTTACGGCGATGCACTGCTGCACCCCGATGCCTCACCGACCCAAGCCCCGCCATGCTCCCTGTTCCTAACCCATCCCCCATCCCATCCCATCCCGTCCCGTCCCATCCGACGCCCTTCATCTACCTGCACTCCCTCACCCTCTGACTGCCTTCCTGGTTTCCTCCCCACTCTCTTCTTCGTGTGGCCTCTTCACACCCTGCTGCTGTGACCCCTCTCCCTCTGCTCCCCCCTTGCTCTCCACTTGCTGCTGCTGCTGCACCTGCTCGTCTGCTTCTGCAGCAGCGGCAGTACCTAGCGATTCCGTGCTTCCGTTCTCCCCTGCTTGCCTGCAGTCTTCCTTATTAGCTGAATCGTTATCAGCGCTCTGCCTACCAGGGTTCTGTACGCTATCGTCTGTAATAATGTTCCTGGCAGTGTCTGGTGCACACATGCCTTCATCACTCCCTCTTTCCCCTGCAGCACATCCACTCGTCCTCACTGCATCACCAACTTTTTCACCCGCACATGCACCACTCTCCTCGCGTGCACATACAGAGGTAGCAGCTTCTGGAATATTTGGTGGTGCTGATGCCGCTGCTGCTGCTGCTGTTGCTTCAGTATCCAGGTTTGGAGGGCTGGCGTGTGCATGTGGGGAGAGATGAGCAGCAGCATCAGCAGCAATAGAACCAGCAGCAGCATCAGCAGCAGTAGCACCAGCAGCAGCATCAGCAACAGTAGAACCACCAGCAGCAGCAGCAGCAGTAGCACCAGCAGCAGCATCAGCAGCAGTAGCACCAGCAGCAGCATCAGCAACAGTAGAACCACCAGCAGCAGCAGCAGCAGTAGCACCAGCAGCAGCATCAGCAGCAGTAGCACCAGCAGCAGAATCAGCAACAGTAAAACCACCAGCAGCAGCAGCAGCAGTAGCACCACCAGCAGCAGCAGTAGCAGTGGCAGTGGCAGTGACAGTGACATCAGAACCAGTGGCTACTGCACCCGCAGGAGGGGCAGCATCAGCAGGAGGGGCAGCATCAGCAGGAGGGGCAGCATCGGCAGGAGGGGCAGCATCCGTAGGAGGGGCAACATCGGCAGGAGGGGCATCGGCAGGAGGGGCAGCATCCGCAGGAGGGGCATCCGCAAGAGGGGCAGCATCAGCATCGCTAGTGGAAGCAGCAGCAGAAGGGTGAGGAGAGGGAGCAGATGGTGTGGCATCTGTCACCTGTGGGACATGTGCCGAGTCCAGCAGTGCTGTGGGGCCTGCAGCAAGTGGAGCAGGAAGACCACACGGAGCAGCAGAAGCAGGAGGAGTAGCAGCAGGAGCAACAGGAGGCGCAGCAGCAGTAATAGGAATATCAGTAGGAGCAGAGGGGGTTGCAGCCGGAGGAGCAGCAGCAGCATCAGCAGCAATGGCAGCGGCAGCAGAAGGCGGAGCAGGAGTAGTCGCATCAGCATCAGCTGCAGCAGCAGCGCCAGGGGCAACACGAGCAGGAGCAGGGGTAGCAGCAGGAGCAAGGGCAACAAGAGAAGGAGCAGGGACAACAGCAGCAGGAGCAGCAGGAGCAGCAGAAGCAGGAGCAGGAGCCGCAGCAACAGCAGCAGAAACAGGAGCAGGAGCAGCAGCAGGGGCAGGAGCAGCAGCAGCAGCAGCAGCAGGAGCAGCAGTAGCGGCAGGAGCAGCAGCAGCAGCAGGAGCAACAGCAGCAGCAGGAGCAGCAGTAGCGGCAGACGGTGGTGGCGCGTGAGCAGTAGCGGCAGACGGTGGTGGAGGTGGCGGTATTAGCTTGAGCGGGTGCAGGGCGTGGAGGGAGTCCCGCAGGTGGGCAGGCAGGTCTGTGACTCAGACGATGGGGGGAGAGAAGGGAGACAGAGGAGATAATGGGATAGAAGGGGTGAGTAGAGTCGGAAGAAGATGCGGGGAACGAGGACTAGAGATAAGGACATGAGAAGGGGAGTTTGTGGATTGGTATATTGCAGGAAAGAAGGCAGGTAAAGGAGAGACGGGGGAGCGAGGTGGATGGATGGTGCTGACAGGATAGATGCGTGCATGAGTCCATGATCCAGAGGGCATGAGTGGAGGTCGGTGGCTGGCAGCAAAGGGGGGCAGTGAAGGGGCAGTGAAGTGTGAGGATTCTAAACAGCTAACCCCCCATGCAGGAAACCTCACAGTAGACACAGGAATGGGGTGCCCTGAACCCTAAGGGCACCCACCAGAGGGCATAAGGGGAGTGCCGAGGTCGGTGGCAGTGAAGGTGACGAGCGTGCAGTAGCCGTCCTGCGATGCCACCACCAGACACCGCCCGTCAGGCGCCCTGCCGTGCAGTGTGCGAGATAGGCGTGCATGGCATGGCATGGCATGGCATGGGATGGGATGGGATGGAATGAGATGAGTAGGGATTGGATAAGGGGAAACCTTACCCCCAAACCCCAGCCTGCAGACTGTGCGAGCTCCCAGCCTTCCCAAACCCCCTTGCCACATTCCCATCACCTTTTTTCCCCTTGAGTACTGCACTAGTGGTCATTGATGGGGGAACAGTGTGGCCCACCTCACCTGCTTCCTCCCACCCACCCCCCTTTACCCCCGCCCCCTTCTCTCCCTCTCCCGCTCCCCACACACCTCTTTCCATCCTTTTGTGCTGTCTACTGCTCACCAGGCGAGGCCTGTGCTGGCGCCGTACTGTGGGCCACCCAACCCCATCCCCATGCCCAGTCCCCCCCTTCCTCCCCGATCCCTCTCTCCCTTCCCTACCTTCCATCATCATGTTCTGTTCCGTTCTCACCATGAAAGGCCTGTGTAGGTGTCGCACTGCAGCCCACTCGGCCCTGTCCTCCCCTCCTCCGATTCCCCCCTACCCCCTCTCCCCATTCTCACGCACTCCCTTCCTTCCAGGAGCATTATGCAGCAGGCCTCACCATGTGAGGTCATTGATAGCAGCGTAGTGCAGCCGGCCGCCCAGGATTATCCCTGTCCCCATTCCCGCCCCCTTGCCCAAACCTCCACTCCCCCCCCCTTCTCCCTCTCTGCACGCTGTACCTTCCATCGTCACGTTGTGTTCAGCTCTCACCATGCGAGATCTTTGATGGCGGCATAGTGCAGCCCGCCGGCCAGAATCGTAGTGCAGCCCCCCTCCCCCTCTCCCTCCCTGCACGCCCTACCTTCCATGCTCACGCTGTGTTCAGCTCTCACCATGCGAGGTCGGTGATGGCAGCGTAGTGCAGCCCGCCCAGCACAGCTAGGGGGCGCGGCGTGGCAGTGTCGTAGAGGCACACGGAGTTGGTGGACGCCACTGCAAACACCATGCGGTACGGCAGGGCCACCGGCAGGGAGAAGGAGGCGGAGGTGGGTGGGGTGTCCTGCTGCTGCTGGGGCTGCTGCTGTTGAACTGGTGGGAAGGGGGGGGTACAGGAAAGGCGGAGCAGGTGGGGGGAGGGGACGAGGGGAACAAGGGATTGAATGAAAGGGAGGACGGGGAGGCGAAATGCAGTTGGGGGTGTGGCGATGCGGCGCGGAGCGGCGGTGTTGGTGGAGGCCACTGCAAACACCATGCGGTGAGGGAGGGACACCCTGCTGCTAAGAGGTGTAGTGCCCTGCTGCTGTTGGTGTTGGTGCTGATCTGGAGAGATGACAACCGAGCAGGGGAAAGAAATGAGAGCAAGCGAAGGGAGAAAGGGAAAGAAGGAATGCGGAAGGGAAGGAAAGATAGAGGAAGGAGGAGGAAAGGAGGACGAGGAGGAGAAGAAAGTGGGCTTAAACTGTAAGGACAGGGTAGTGAGATGGGGGAGGAAAGAGAGGAAACCGTGGAAAATGACCTTAAATTCTTTATTTAAAACGGCTGAAATTACCCATGGAACCCACACCCCTGCACTCAGACTCACCAGCTTGCTGCACATCGTCATCAGCAGCACCAGCACCAGTGGCTGCACCATTGGATGCCGGGGCCTCGTGGGCAGGCAAGGCGATTGTGGGCGAGTGAGCAGGCGAGGAGGGGTGGAACAAGACGGGGCAGAAGCGGACGGCCACTAGCGGCTTGTTGAGCGACGGCAGATGCATCATGGGCCTGGCGCCACACCATGGGCATGGGGCCACGGGGAGGCAAAAAGGGGGGGGGGAGATGGGGGAAGGCCTTTTAAGGCACCTCAAAAGCAGGCATGGTAGGTGGGTGCATGATGGGCGTGGTGCCGGAAGCAGGGACAAGGCGAGGGGTGGGGAGAACAGGTTGTGAGAAGGGCGGAAGAGGGGGGAGAGAGGAGGCAATACAAGGGGCGAGGTGGCATGATGGGTCTGATGCTCTACAAGAGCGGAGAGGAGGAGGTGGAGGGGGACGATGTGGGAGCGTGCGGACGGCAAGCGCAAAGGACTTGAGGAGGCTTATCTTGCATCCAGTACGGTTTCATACCACTTCTTGTGCAGGGGGATGTATGCGTGCGGCATGTGAATGTGTTGCTTGGTTCTAATTCACGTGCACGTGGTATTGGGAGGCTTTGGAGGCAGCACCAAGTTGGGGTAGCTTACTTGGAGAGGTCGGACCGAGAGAAGACGAAGCAGGTGTTGGTGGGAGGCGCGGACAGGGACGCCTTCCATACACCTGCTCGCATGGGCAGTCGTCACATGCGCACGCACGCATGCAAGCACGCACACACACGCACAAGTGCACGGATCAGCACAAACAGAAACGGAAGGGAAGGTGAGCGAAGATGGAAAGAGTGGGAGGGGGAGAGAGGGCGAGGAGGGAGAAGAGAGGGAAGGGGTTGTCGGAGCAAAATGGGGGCCGGGGCGGGGGGAAGAGAGGGACGACGGTGGTGATAAAATGACTAAGTGTGGTGAAGAGGGCTCACTCGTGATGCTCAGAACCCATGAGAGGACGCGGCTCCTAATCAACAGACAAGCAGCATGCTGGAATCGAAGCAGGGAAGGCGTGGAGGGGCAAGGAGGGCGTGTGGAGGCACGGAGGGCGTGGAAAGGCAGGGAGGGCGCGGAGAAGCACACCCGCAGGGATGACCAGCATAGCTCCATCCGGGGACCAGGCGAGGCGGCGGAAGAAGGAGGGCATGTTCTCATCGTGGAACAGATGCACGCGCACCGCCTGCCGGGGGGGAGAGAGGAGGACTCACGAAAGGGAATTAGAGGGCGTATCTGAGCCCATGCGCATCTGAGCCCATGCGCATCTGAGCCCATGCGCATCTGAGCCCATGCGCATCTGAGCCCATGCGCGTCTGTGTGTGTGGGCCTGTGTGTGTAGTATGTGTGTGCATGGGTGCGTGCGTGTGTGCTTGCATGCATGCGTGCATGTGTGTGTGTGTGTGTGTGTGTGTGTGTGTGGGTGTGTGTGTGTGCATGTGTGTGTGTGTGCGCACGTGCATGCGTGAGTGCGTGCGTGCATGTGTGCGTGCGCGCGTGCATGTGTGTGCGCGTGTGTGCGTGCGTGTGGGCGTGCATGTGTGTCTGCGTGTGTGCATGCGTGCGTGTGCGTGTGCCTGTGTCTGTGTGTGTGTGCATGTGTGTATGCGCATGCGTGCGTGTGCGCGTGCCCTGTCGCTGTGCGTGTGTGCCTGCGTGTGTGCGTGCGTGGATGCGTGCATGCCTGGCTTCGTGTGTATGTGTGCATGCGTGCGTGCATATGTGTGTGGGTGTGCGCGTGCGTGAGTGAAAGAAATCTTCTTGCTCGCCGCACCTTACTTGGGCCTTCTAGCTTGGCTCCATTCTCCACCTCGCCCCCCTCTCCTCCTTCCCCCCTTTTCTCCACCTCCATTGCTGCGCCCACTGCTTCCGCCCCTCTCTCTTGAACTACACCCTCCCCTCCCCCTGCACCTCCTGCTCCCCCTCCTCTTCCTCCTCCCACTGCCTCTGTCGCACCCACTTCATCCCCCCCTACAGCAGCAGCCGCAGCAGCAGCAGGGGCATCCCTTTTCTGAATCACATGCACACACCGCACAACACCTGCAGACTTCTGCTGCTTCCCTCCCCCTCCTCCCCCCTTTGCTCCTCCGCCCCCAGCCCCTGCAGCACCGGAACCACCAGTAGCAGCGGCAGCGTCAGTGGCAGCGGTAGTGGGAGGGGGCGAGGGGAGGGAGTAGACGCGGCAGGTGCGGTCGCCGCTGCAGGTGACGAGGAAGCGCGAAAGGGGGTCCCACGCCACGCCCTGCACGTAGTGCACGTGGTCCTTGAGAAACGCCTCAGGCACACCTGCAGGAAGGGAGGCCGAGAAGCCGCGGAAACTCAGATGAGAGGCTTAGAGATTAAATGAGGGAGTAGACAGGAAAGGCGCGAGAGGGGGGCCCAGGCCATGCCACCCCCTGCACTAAGTGCGTGCACATGGTCGGTCCTTGAGGAGGGGCTCAGGCACACCTTCCAGGACAGGTGATAGGGCTGAGAGGTTCAGGGGTTTAGATGTTGAGAGGCCGATAGGAGACGTTGAAAGGCAAGACGTTGAGAGGTTAAGAGGTAACAGATTGGGAGGTCAGACACATGGAGAACAATGCTCAGGAAAGGATAAATGAGGGAGAAATGCAGTGGTTGGCCGGCCAAAAGGGGATGCATGGAAGCATGAGCTACCAAGAGGTGCACAGAGGTGAGAGGAGTATGGGGAGGAGGAATGGGGAGGGGAAGTGGGGAGGAGGAAGAGGGGAGGGGGAATGACCTCTGGCGAGGTTCCATATGATGGCAGAGTTGTCCACTGAACCCGACGCTAGTGAGTGGCCGTCCGGAGCCCAGGACAGATCCAACACATCCTTCTCATGGCGACTGCACAGGCCGAACAGAGAACGGTATGGTGCGAGGCGGAAAGATAGGCGTGAGGGGGGAGAGGGATGGGCATGAGGGGAGAGAGGCATTAGGTGGAGAAGAGGATCGGTGAGAGCAGAAGAGGAAGCGAAAGAGTAGAGGGGAGAGGAGGAAGGCAACGATAACGTGCTGCGGATGGGGAACGACGCGAGGGAGGGAGAGGGGAAGCGAGAAAGTGAGCGGGGGAGAGGGGAAAAGGATGCGCAGGAGTGCGATAAAGCAGACTGTGAGGATGTGAGTGTGGGAGAGAGGAGATGGAGATGGATGTGTGAGAGAGATGGATGTGTGAGAGAGGAGATGGATGTGTGAGAGAGGAGATGGATGCGTGAGAGAGGAGATGGATGTGTGAGGGGCCAAACCTGAGAGCCCTGAAGGCCTTCCACATGGCACCGCTGGGAGTCTGTATTTGCCTCCACAGCACTATCTCCCCTCCTGTGAGTATCACACACACACACACACACATGCACCAAGGTTCAAAAACACGGTTTCCGAAAAATACGGTCCGTTTTATACGCTCCCTTTTTTTCGGTAATTTGGGGAAAAACGCCGTTTTTAAAATAGAGAACATTTCGTTTTTTTTTTATAGAAAGCCTACACGTTTGCCAGATTTGCACATTTTGCACCCCAAAATGCGAGATCCCAGCATCTCGGCAGGCGAAATGCCAGATCCGCGGATTTCGGCGGGCGAAATGCCAGATATCCTAGCATTTCGTTTGCCAAAATGCGAGTTCCCGCACATTTTAGGGGTCAAAATGCCAGATCCGCGCGTTTCAGCAGGCGAAATGGCAAATCCGGGCGTTTTGCAGGTTTTTTTTTTTGGGGGGGGGGGGGTGGGGGGAGAAATACGGCCGTTTTTTTGCACCAGTAAAAAAAAACAGCTCCGGACCATTTTCAACCGTTTATACGGCCGAAAAATACGATACCGTATTATATGGGGGAAAAAAAAAGGCCGTTTTTTTGCATCTTGACATGCGCGCGCGCGCACACACACACACACACACACACACACACACACACACACACACATGCATGCAAATGCACACACACACACCCACCCACCCACTCACCCACTCAACCAACAACCCACCTATTCCCCCCCACCCCACCCACAAACACATGCATACAGACACACGAGCACGCACGCACATGCACACTCACAACACCCACGTGAACAGGCCCCCCATATGAGCCATCCCTCCCCCCCACCCCCCTCCACCCCTCCCCCCTTCATCAGACGCATCCATAGACGCACACCACTTCCGTGAGTGCATGGCAAAAAGGCATGTGCTGGTTGGAACATGCGCTTAAGGGCAGTGGGAGTAGAGGAGGCGCATGCACGCCAATACACAGACGGGTGGGGGAGGACAAAAGGGATGAGAGAGGGAGTGGAGAGGATGTGAGAGGGAGGGTGGAAAGGGCTTACCGTCTGCTCCCGAGGCGAGGACGTCTCCTGAGAGATGATGTGCCGTGGCATGTAGGGGACGCAGGAGGGGAGAGAGAGACAGGGAGGGAGGGAGGGAGAGTGGTACATATGCAGCATGAGGAGAAACCGTGCCAGCATGCACCCAGGCACATGTGCACATATCACATGCATACGCGTGCAGATCCATGCAGATGGTCATGCCATAACAAAAACCTAAACCATGCAGAAAAAAACACACAGATCGTTCAAGAGACACAGGGTCCGGATGGAAAAGCAAAGGGGGGGGGGAGGGAGATGAGAAAGAGAGGGGGGAGGACGGCGGGTGGCTGGCAGGGACGTTGAGAAGAAGATGCATGCTGCTGCTGCAACGGGCACGTTTTGAGGCGCCTCAAAACTAGACTCCTATCACACGGATTTTGAGGCGCCTCAAAACGATGCATGCTGCTGCTGCAACGGGCACGGAACAACGAGCGCAGAGCAGGGAACGGGTGGCTATGACGGCACGCAAGGGCAGGAGTGAGAACGCCGGGATGGAGAGTGGGTGCACGCACCAGAGGGCGAGAAGCGGAGGGCGTTGACGGCGTAGTTGTGGTGCGCCAGGGCCGCCACGAACTCCACTGCTGGCTCCCCTGTGGCGTCTGCCGCCACCCGCCATAGCTGCCACGCGCACGCACGCACGCCCACAGGGCAAATGACGACGTATGGAGGAGAGGGGAGAGGGGGGAAGGGAGGGGGTGGGGGGGCGTGGTTGTGCCCGTGGAGGGGCGTGGGAGGAACGAATGGTGGCATGAGGCGAGCGGCATTCTTTCCTCGCATGGGCGCTGGCGTGGCATGGCACGATGCACTCGCGGGCACACGCACGCAGACGCATGGGGACGGGTGGAGGGGGGGTGTGTGCGGGGATTGGGCGGACCGGAGGAGAATGGGTGCACGCAGGGAGTGCAAGGATGAGGGATATGGCGGTGAGAAATGGTCTCTCGGAGCGGAGCTCCAAGAGAACACTCGAATCCCCTGTGGTGTGCCACTCGAGTGGCCTGTGCTGTGCCTCTACAGCTGCCTGCCTGCCTGCCAACAGGTGCGCATCCTGCCTCCCCCCCGTGGAGTATCATCGCCTGCTGTCCTTAATCCCCTCCTAGCCCCGCTTCAGTAATCGAGCCACCACCACCCTGTCACTCGTCTCAGCGCCCCCTCTCCCCCCGCCCCCGCCAATCCCCCCTCACCCTCTTCCGCACACAATTATCCCCCTTTCCCCCATTTACCCCTCTTCCCCCCCCGCCCCCGCCGTCCCCTTCTTCCCCCTCACCGTAAGCCTCTCACCCGCACCTTGATTTCCTTGTCCGCGCCGCCAGTCGCGAGCACGCCCGACGGGTGGAAGTCAGCGGACAGCACGGGCTCCCTGCCGTGCCACAGCACCTGCAGCGTCTTCACGCGCATCCTCGCCGCCTCACGTCCGTCAAATTCCGTCGACGTCCGTCAACATCCGTCAACGTCAGTCAGCATCCGTCCAGATCCGTCAACCCGTCAACTTCTGTGAACTCCGTTAGCCGCCGTCGGTCACGGCTCTCTCTCTGACAACTTCTTCCGTCGTCGATGCAGCCGCGGACTCTCGACTTCCGTCGTCGTCGACAAGCCCGTCTCAGCCTTTCATTCACCGCACGACCTAGGCGCTACTCACGAAGACGCGTTTCGCGGGCTTTGGGTGACGGAAAGAGTGCGCGTTTTTAGGGGGAGTCCGAAGCGTACGTCTGATTGCGGTTGAGTGAGGTGAGTTTCTTTACTGAAGGATGCAATAACAATCGACAATCCAAAACTGTTCGGTAGGGTATTGGGCAAAAACGTACCTTAGAATACCTTTCGTGTTGTTACGACCTCAAACACACTTGAAATCCAAGAAATAAAGCATTGCACAAACAATTTCCATTTCACAGTGAACAAGCCTTCAGTAAAAAAATGCATGATTACGGTAACGTTGCTTGTTCTTGATTAATTGTCTCAACTCATCTGTCAAACATAAGCATAACTCATGTTTGTATAGACTGTATAGGGTCGCCTCTTAGAGGGTACAACACTCTTAGGTATATACCCTTGTACTCTCTCTCTCTCTACGATCATTACTTCAGTTCTAAGATGGTATCAGCAGTAGGTAGGTCCCACCGCCCCCCCACGCTTCCGCCCTAGGATCTACCCCCGTGCGTCGCGCCCCCTAGGCCCCGTCGCGTCACCTAGGACCAGTCGCGCCCCCCCCTGGGCCCGTCGCGCCCCCTCTGGGCCCCGTCGCGTCACCTAGGACCAGTCGCGCCCCCCCTGGGCCTGTCGCGCCCCCCTGGGCCCCGTTGCGTCCCCTGGGCCCCGTCACGCCCCCCTGGGCCCCGTCACGCCCCCCTGGGCCCCGTCACGCCCCCTGGGCCCCGTCACGCTCCCCTGGGCCCGTCGCGCCCCCTAGCACCCGTCCCGCCCCTCCTGGGCCCCCCCGTTGGTGCCTCCTGGCCCTGTCGCGCGACTCCTAGCCCGTCGCGCCTTACCTAGCCCGTCGCGCCTTTCCTAGCCCGACGCGCTTCCTAGTCCGTCGCTCCAGCCCCGCGACCGTCCCAGCCGGCCCCGCGACCGTCCCAGCCTGCCCCGCGACCGTCCCTGCCAGCCCCGCGACTGTCCTAGCCGACCCCGCGACCGTCCCAGCCGGCCCCGCGACCGTCCCAGCCGACCCCGCGACCGTCACAGCCGGCCCCGCGACCGTCCCAGCCGGCCCCGCGATCGTCCCAGCCGACCCCGCGCCCGTCCCAGCCGGCCCCGCGATCGTCCCAGCCGGCCCCGCGACCGTCCCAGCCGGCCCCGTGTCCGTCCCAGCCGGCCCCGCGCCTGTCCCAGCCGGCCCCGCGCCCGTTCCAGCCGGCCCCGCGCCCGTCCCTGCCGGCTCCCGCGCTTGTCCCGGCCGGCCCCGCGTCGACTTCCGGCCCTTCCTCGCCGGGCCTACGACCGTCCGATCTGCACTCTCCCTGGTACGGTTCTCCACCACCTTTCAACGCACTGTACCGCACTGCACCGCACCGCACCGCATTGCACTACGCTGCACCGCACAGCACCGCCCTGCACTGCCCTGCACTGCCCTGCATCGCACTGCCTCGCCTTGCACCGCCCTGCACCGCACTGCACTGCCCTGCTCTGCACTGCACCGCACTGCACCGCACTGTACAGTCCTGCACTGCCCCTGATGGCGGCGGAGCTTCGCTTCGACGCTGAAGGCCAGCCTCTGGAGTTCGAGGCGTGGCTTGCCGACCTCCGGCGTCAACTCACTGGCCAGCGGCAGGATGGTGAACCGCTTTCCGCACACCTTGACGGTACGCTCCCCTGCCCAGACCCCCCTGCTGTTCTGCCCGCTGACTTCGCACCCACTAAGCGCGAGTCTACTGCTGCCACTCCCGTCGCCTCCTCCGTCCTCCCTTGTTGTTGCACCCCCCCCGCTGTCTGACTACCTTCGTGCCGCTTGTCCTCTTGTTCCTCGGGTCCTTGCCTCTCTCGTTACCGACCCGTCTGTTCCGGTCTCGTGCTTTGACGCTCTTGTTGCTGCGGTCGCTGACTTCGCCTCTACCCGCCGCCTTGACTATGCCACCGCTCTGGTCTCTGACCCTGCATGTCCTCCGTCTGTCGGGGGTGCTCCTGCCCTTGGCAGTGACGTCCTGGAGGACCGCCAGTTCGAGCTTGCTTTCCTGTCCGAGGCTGCTCCCCATCTCTGTTCCATGCTGCTAGTCCCTGAGGGTGACCCAGACGCTTTCGACATCCCGACCCCACGCACTTACGCTGAGGCGACCTCGGGACCTTGGGCCTCTCAGTGGATAGCTGCCATAGAGCAGGAGATGGCATCTTGGAGATCCACCGGTACCTTCGTCGACGCAGTTCCCCCGCCTGGGGTGAACGTAGTCGATGGCCGCTGGCTCTTCAAGGTGAAGCGCCCTCCTGGAGAGCCGCCTGTGTTCAAGGCGCGCTACGTGGCTAGAGGCTTCAGTCAGCGTGAGGGGGTGGACTTCTTCCAGACCTTCGCTCCGACCCCAAAGATGACTACTCTTCCGGTTCTGTTACACCTAGCTGCTCAGCGTGACTACGAGCTTCACTCCCTCGACTTCTTCACTGCCTTCCTTCAGGGCAGCCTACACGAGCAGGTCTACTTGCGTCGCCCTCAGGGCTTTACTGGCACCTTCCCTCCTGGGACCCAGTGGCTCCTGCGGCGCCCCGTCTACGGCCTGCGCCAGGCTCCCCGTGAGTGGCACGACACTCTCCGTGCTACGCTTGCTGACCTGCAGTTCTTTCCGTCTATCGCAGACCCCTCACTCTTCGTTCGTGCTGGCCAGACTCCGTTCTACATCCTTGTTTACGTCGACGACCTGGTCTTTGCCACAGCAGACAGGGACGCACTAGCCTCCGTGAAGGCAGAGCTGCTGAAGAGACACACGTGCACTGACCTTGGAGAACTGCGCCGTTACCTTGGCTTGCAGATCTCCAGGGACAGAGCAGCGCGCACCATCACCCTGACTCAGTCACACTTGGTGCGCCAGGTCCTTCAGAGGTTCAGCCTTCAGTTCTCCTCTGCACAGCCCACCCCTCTGCCTGTAGACCACAGACTCTTGGCTCTAGTGTCTGAGGAGTCGGTAGAGCCCAGCGGCCCCTACGCAGAGCTGGTGGGTTGCCTCATGTACCTGATGACTTGCACTCGCCCAGATCTCGCGTACCCTCTCAGCATCCTGGCTCGCTTTGTGGCCACAGGCAGACACCGACCGCAGCACTGGTCTGCCGCTAAGAGGGTTTTGCGTTATCTTGCTAGTACATCGGGCATGGGGTTAGTGCTAGGAGGGCGCAGGCCAGTGGTCCTTACTGGACACACAGACGCTTCGTGGGCAGACGATGCCGAGACACTCAGGTCTACCCAGGGCTACTGCTTCAGCCTTGGCTCAGGTGCCGTCTCGTGGAGAGCTACCCGCTCCTTGTCTGTTGCCCAGTCCAGCTGTGAGGCTGAGATCTACGCTGGTGCCATGGCGGCACAGGAGCTCCGCTGGCTGACCTTCTTGCTCACTGACTTAGGTGAGCGGCCTAGCTCTGCCCCGGTCCTGTTCGCTGACAACAGGGCCATGATCCTCCTGTGTCAGGAGCCTCGACTCGAGGGCAGAGCGAAGCATATTCAGCTGCGATACTTCCTCCTGCGCGAGCTACAGCAGCGACGCCAGGCTCGCGTAGTACACTTGGCCTCAGGTGCCAACACAGCTGATATCTTTACGAAGGTGCTTGCGCCTAAAGATCATCAGCGGCACTGCGTACAGCTTGGTCTAGTTCCTGTAGCCTCTCACTTGCTAGGGCCTTGACTTTGTAGTGTCCTTTATATGCATACTCAGACTGGACTTGTGTCCTCTCCCAGTGGCTGGACTAGTAGTGCCGCCCTGGTCTTGTTCTTGCGTTGTCTCAACTCCGTCTGACTGGTCTTTTAGACCCTTGTCTCAGAGGTTGGACTAGTAGTGCCGCCCTGAGCTGCTTGTTCCGGTCATTCCCCTATGCAGTCTAGGGGGTGTGTCAAACATAAGCATAACTCATATGTGTATAGACTGTATAGGGTCGCCTCTTAGAGGGTACAACACTCTTAGGTATATACCCTTGTACTCTCTCTCTCTACGATCATTACTTCAGTTCTAAGACTCATTATGAGTCATTCGTGCTAAACTATACTCGACAGATTTTACTTATGCATACCTGATATAACACTTAGACTGTACTAGTAGCGCGATACCTCATATAGAAAGGAGCGCGTCGTGACGTTAGCAGCAGCGAGTCAACGCATGAACAGTAGGTTCGCTAGTCACCCGAAGGGTCATGCCACTCGAGTCACACGAACAGTCACTAGTCATATCACGCAAATACTCGTGATACACTACGAACAGGTACATTCCGAATAGGTACTTCTTGTCAAACAGTCACGCGAATAGGTAATAATTTGACAGGTGTTGCAGAAGACTAAGTATAGAATCTGCAAACACGGACACTTGGAAAACCTCAAGTGTTAACCTAGGATCTTTACTGGAATGGTAGACTAGTAAGACAGCGGAAGTCTTGTAAGAATGAACCTGAGAATATATTTGTGTGGAAGTTATGTCTCAAAGTTCTCAAAGTTGAAATCTCTAGGTTAATAATAAAAAGGACACAACAAAGATTTATAGCTCTAGGAAAGTACCTATTCGCTAATGTACCTGTTCGTCACTATCGCGCTATGCGCCATAGATGATAATGAAGAGGTGCGACTATTCGCGTGACTGAAACGACTGTCCTATGATGAGCGTTATTTGCTGACGTCATCCTACGGACTTATCTTCTACAGTAGGATTCGACACTATCTATCGATAAACGACTTACAAAAATGCTAAGTATGAATTATATCACAACACTCCCCTTCATTTCTGGAAGTCCGATAGAGTTACGTCTTGAAGATCCCGCAAAGCTTGTTACAGTACTGAAACTTCTGTCGTGTCAACTTCTTCGTAAGGAAATCGGCAGCCATTTGGTTGGTCGAACAGTAGACCAATCACATTCTCCCCTTTCTCGACTTCATCATTAACGAAAAAGTAACGCAGTGAAATATGTTTCGTCCTGTTGACGAAACCAGGCTGGTGTGCGATGCGAATTGCATTTTGGTTGTCGCTCTCAAAGAAGCTTAGGATAGGAACTACACTTAG